CTGAGGCGGGTGGATCACATGAGGTCAGGAGTTTGAGACCAGCCTGGCCAACATGGCGAAACCCCATCTCTACCAAAAATACAAAAATTAGCTGGGCGTGGTGGCACATGCCTATAATCCCAGCTACTTAGGAGGTTGAGGGAAGAGAATCGATTGAACCCAGGAGGCGGAGGTTTGCAGTGAGCAGAGATTGTGCCATTGTACTCCAGCCTGGGCAATGACAGCGAAACTCCGTCCCCGAAAAAGAAAGTTTATTGAGGTATATTTTTCATAAAGTACACTAATATTAAAGGTAGAACTTGATGGAGTTTTACATATGGACAGAGTCACCTACTGAGATTAGGTTACATAGAATATTCTAGTACACAAGAAGATTTCCTGTGTTCCTTCGGCACAAGTCATTCTTAGCCCCTAAGCCTAACTGCTGCTCTGACTTCTACCAGCGTTACTTTTGCCTGTTCTTGAACATCATATAAATGGAGTCACAGAGCACATAATCTTTTTTATTTGAGATTGAGTCTTGCTCTGTCGCCCAGGCTGGAGTGCAGTGGTGCAATCTCAGCTTACTGCAACCTCTGCCTCTTGGGTTCAAGCAATTCGATTCTCCTGCCTCGCCTCTCAAGTATCTGGGATTATAGGTGCATGCCACCACGCCTGGCTACTTTTTTCTTTTTGTATTTTTAGTAGAGATGGGTTTCGCCATTTTGGCCAGGCTGGTCTTGAACTCTTGACCTCAGGTGATCCGCCCGCCTTGGCCTCCCAAAGTTCTGGGATTACAGGTGTGAGCCACCACATCTGGCTTATAATCTTTTTTATTTGGCTTGTCAACATTGTGACTCTGACATTTGTCTATGTCATTGCACATAGCTATATGTTTTAAATTTCCCTAGGTTATTGGGGTACAGGTGGTGTTTGGTTACATGAGTAAGTTCTTTAATGAGGATTTGTCAGATTTTGGTGTACCCATCACCCGAGCAGTAAACGCTGGACCCTATATGTAGTCTTTTATCCCTTACATAAGGCTGTATTCTGAACTCCTGGCTGGACATGAATTTTGGGGCCACTCTTCAGCCTACAGTGATGGAGCCCCTGGGCATGGGTCCCACACTGGGCAGTGCCTGGCTCCACACAGGAAAGCTGAGTCCCTGTCCTGGAGGCCTCAGGACTCTGTTCAGGGTTTCAGGCTGGCCACTCGCAGCCACACCCCATGGCAGGGCAGGGGATTCAGAAAGTGACCTAGCTCTTGCAGGGTGGATGGAGAAGAGCCTTGCTCCAGGGAGAGGTGCCTCCAGGAAGGGCTGAGATGCATTGGGGTCTGTTCCAAGGTCTCTAGCTGACCTGGCAGAGCCCCCGGCTTGTCTCGACATAGGTTGTTTGCGCCCTGGGGTCTCTGGTGAGAAGATAGGACAGGCACCTAGTGTTTTCTCTACCTTGCATGCCTCCTGTCATGATGGGGGCCCTAGGGCCCACCCTCACCTGCCCTTGCTGGTCTTCAGTCCTGACCCTGCCTCTGCCCTCTGTCCTTGAAATATTTGTTCCAGGCTGGGTGCCTCAGCTCACACCTGCAATCCCAGCACTTTGGGAGACCGAGGCGGGAAGATAGCTTGAGTCCAGGAGTTGGAGACCAGCCTGGGCAACATTTTTCTACAGAAAGTTAAAAAAAAAAATAGCTGGGTGTGGTGGCTCATGCCTATGGTCTGAGCTACTTGGGAAACAGGTGGCTTGATCGTTTGAGTCCGGGAGGTTGAGGCTGCGGTGAGCTGTGGTCGCACCACTGCACTCCAGCCTCTGTCCAGGGTGGCAGAGTGAGATCCCTTCCCTCTCTCTTATATATAAAATATTCATTCCTGTCAAAGGCACATCCATCCTGTCCCTGTAGGTCAGCATGGAAGGGAGCTCCATGGTCTTCATCTGGACTGATTTCAGAGCCTGGCAGACATCGCATCGGCACGTTTCTTCCTGGCGTGGACCTGGGCATCCTTGGTGGGAGCACATCAGTGCCAAAAGGGCGAACACTGGTTCTTGAAACAATCTTAGTAGTGGTAAAAATGTCTAAGAACCCTCCTAGATGGGCAATAATGAGAAAAGGTTGATGTGCCCTGGTCTAACCCAAGTCCCTGTTGCTGCTGCTTTAGCCACATCAGTCTCAGTGCTGATCACGAATGCAGACAATGCTGATGTCACACAGGTGCCGAGGGCCACCCACTTTACTGCTCTCTCCTCATTCAGTCCTCAGGATGGTAGCTGCTCTTCTGTGTTGAAAGATGAGAGTGCTGAGCACAGAGAGGCTCAGTGACCTGCCCAGGGTCACACAGCTCAAAGGGGACTGAGCTTCCTCTCAGCTCCTTGTACGGTACTGGTAATGAAGCTTGCTGAATTTTGGATGGATGAAAAATACTCCTACTTCCTTCTGCCTGAGGACTTTTTGAGCAAAAGAAGCAGCTGGCTTTTAAGTCTCTTCTCTTTCTTCTTTGCAATCTCACCGAAGGCTGTTGTGTGTTGCACTGTGTGCTCCAAAAAGCTGTGTCCAAATCCTGTTCCCTAGAACCTGTGAATGTGACCTTATTTGGAGATAGGGTGTTTGCAGATTGAATCAAATTACAAGGAGGTGCTACTGGGTTCAGATGGGTCCTGGTATGGTGGCTGGTGTTCTTGTTAAGAGAGGAAACATGGACACAGACACACACGGGAGGAGGCCATGTGAAGGCAGGGGCGGAGGTCAGGGTGAAAGAGCCATGGGCTGAGGAACACTGAGGGCTGCTAGCTACCTCCGGAAGCTGGGAGGGGCCTGGAGAAGGCTCCTCCGGAGTCTGAAGGCACTGGCCCTGCTGCCGCCCTGCTGTCTGACTTCCAGCCTCCAGAGCTGTCAGAGGAGAAATGGGTGTGGTTTTAAGCTACCTGGTTTGTGGAAATTCATTTCAGTTGCCCAAGCAAACTAACACAAAAGAGATGGTATTTTTTAAGAGTTTTATTTTTGTTTGTTTTTGTCAAAGTTTGCCTTGGGCACCAAACTAAAGAGTGAGAGTATGGGCCGGGCGCACGGTGGCTCACGTCTGTAATCCCAGCACTTTGAGAAGCCGAGGGTGGGTAGATCACCAGAGGTCGAGAGTTTGAGACCAGCCTGACTAACATGCAGAAAACCCATCTCTACTAAAAATACAAAATTAGTAGGGCATGGTGGCACATGCGTGTAATCCCAGCTACTCAGAAGGCTGAGGCACTGAGGCAGGAGAATAGCCTGAACTCGGGAGGTTGTGGTAAGCTGTTATTGCACCATTGCACTTCAACCTGGGCAACAAGAGCAAAACTCTGTCTCAAAAAAAAAAATGAATAAAGAGAGGATGGACTGGATTGTGCATGCGTGTGTGCACGCACGTGTGCATGTGTGTGTCCATGTGTATGTGTGTGCATCTGTGTGCGTGTGTGCATGTGTATAGTTGGGGGGCTTGTTCCCCATTCCTATCATCTGCCTTTTGTCCCCTCCACCCCTCCACGTATGTGTCTTCTTTGCCTCCATCTGTCACCCTCACTAGTCCCCCGTTGGGGATAATGAAAGGCCATTGCCCTTTCTCTCCTTAGGGAAGGTTGGGGTGGGAGAGGAGGGTGGCTGAGAGGACAGGTGGCTGCTGAGGGTTCACGCCATCCCATCTCTAGCGGGTGGCTCACCGGGCTCAGAAGAGGAGGAGGGTGGGGATGTTGGAAACATCCTTCATTTTATTCTTATTATGTGCAGCCATAAAGACCAATACCTTGTATAGGGATAAACAGAGCTTAAACTGGGCCTGCAAAGCCATGGGGTGAGGTGAGAATCAAAGGAAATGAAATTAATATGTTAAAAAAAGGCAAGCAGCTTCCTGGAGAAAGACCCCAGGGCTGTCCTGTGTGAACAGATCTGCCAGCCGAGGGGAATCCATCTCAATAGAAGTTTGCAACAAGATAAATTCTGCATATGATGGCTAATGAATGTCCCTGAGAGCTGAGTAGTAATCACACAGGAAATAAATTCTCTAAAATTAAAAGCGACACTAGTATTGGTGGTGAGGTGGAAGGCTGCGGTGGTGGCAGTCACCTCGTTTAAGATCCTGGGAAGGATTTGTTCTCAGGAAGCCGGTGATAATTTACTGGAGTTTTAATACCTGGCAAGTTCCCAGACTTCTGTGGGTGGAATTTATTTTGGCACAATACGGCCCCTTGGGAGGAAATAGACAGACTCGGAGAGGCCCGAATGTGCCTGGGAAACGGCCTCTGTCACCTGTGTGGTCCCTGGACAGAACCTAGCCAGGCTCTTGAAGGGAATTCCTCTGCTTGTTTCAGTCCCATGCACTGCCCTTCAGCACACAGGCAGTAACACACAGCACACAGGCAGTAACACACAGATATGTCTGCCCATATCTGCATGTGTGCCCGTATCTGCACTTGCCTGACATGTGCAGATACGGGCACACATGCAGATATGGGCAGACATACAAATATGACCACACATGCAGTTATGGGTGTGTGTGCAGTTGTGGGCACATGTGCAGATGTGGTCACATGTATAGCTGTGGGCACATGAAGATATATTCCCTGACTGCTCAGGGAAGGTGGAGGTGAAGGCTGGGGCTGAGAGAGCGGGGATTTCCACTTGTGAGGGCCTCTCTGCAGATATGACCACACATGCAGCTAGGATCACACATGCAGCTCTGACCACATGTGCAGGTATGATCACGTGTGCAGATGTGATCATGCATGCAGTTGTGGGCACACACGAAGTCGTGACCAACAGGTGTAGGTATGGACTTACCCCTATGTCTTTAATGTGTGAACTGGATGGAGTGGGCTGCCAGCTCCACCTCCTCGCCAGATCCCCTCCCCACAGTTCGCTCTGCTCGGGGTCAGGGTTTGGAAGCCTGGGGCACTGTAGAGCCTGCCGCCTTTGCCTGTGGGCCTTACGAGCGAGGCCCTCCTGGGAAGGTCTCCCTGGCCAGTTCTGCTGCTCACCTCTGGCTTCTCCCACCTAGGATGCCCCCTGGGGCTGGCCTCATGGAGCGGATCCAGGCTATTGCCCAGAATGTGTCTGACATCGCCGTGAAGGTGGACCAGATCCTGCGACACAGCCTGCTCCTGCACAGCAAGGGTGGGTGCCGGGGGCGGGGTGCCCTCTGCCCCTAGGGGGCCAATGAACTGGGTGCTGGGTGGGCCCTGGAAGGGTGGGACACCTGGGGTGTGGCTGACTTCTGACAGCAGCTCTCCTGGCTCTTTGGGGCCCTAGCTTAGGCTTTCAGCAGGAGGAATGGGGGTTCACTCCCCGCAACCTGGCAGGAGGGCGCAGTGGACAGAGGAGGTCCCTGGAGTCTCAGCCTCTGGGGTTCACAGTTCCAGGAGTTGAGGCTACCTGGGGAAAGGTCGTTGGGTGGCCCCTCCAGTCCCTGTGATGTGGGGATCAGCGAGCTGGCAGCTGCAAACCTGATTTCTGCCTCCTCGGAACACTGGGGATGCTTTCGGGAGGGTGCTGAGGTCTGCCCATCCAGGCAGCTGCTAGGTGGCTGAGCACACTAGCTCCTCACTGCTTCTAAATCCCCCGAGGAGGCTGGGACAGCCCAGGCCTGGGGGTGACCCTGTGGGTGGGTTGTGTGGCTGGTGAGGTGGGAAACTGGCAGTGGGTTGTGTGGGAAGCTGCCTCCCGCACCTAGGCCTCTCTCCCTGGCCTCCTCCCTGGACCCAGGGCTTCAGCAAAGTGACCTCTTCCTGCAGTGTCGGAAGGCCGGCGGGACCAGTGTGAGGCGCCGAGTGACCCCAAGTTCCCTGACTGCTCAGGGAAGGTGGAGGTGAGGCCTGGGGCTAGGGAGCGGGGATGTCCACTAGCGAGGGCCTCTCTTTCCGGCCCTGACCCCTAACCCGAGCACAAGGTGGCAGAGGCCAACTTCAGGGAAACAGCTTCTCTGCTCAGTTCATCACCCATCATCCCAAATCCCCCAGGAGGCGTTGCCCTCAGGGGTCAGTGCTTTTTCTCAGCAAGTGATTAAATCTCCGCGTGTCACCACCAGCAGGTGGATTCCCCCAGAGACTCAGAGGAGGGGCCCTGGCCGCCCTGTCCCCGATCCTCCTGGCCCAGCCGACAGCTGGACAGTGTCTTCCTGCCCTGCCTCTGGGGCCACTGTGGGCTGCATGAAGTCTGTCCCTGTAGGAGCTGTCCACAGCCATGAAGCCAGCTCTCCCTGGTTCTGAACCCCCTAAGGGGTGGGTGGTGGTGCTGCAGACCCCTCCCTGGGTGACTATCTGGGATCACTGCAGGTGGATCCTGCCCTGGCCCCAGCCCTGGCCGCCTTGGAGGCTGTTCCCTGACCTTGACCTCTAGCCCAATCCTGCTCCAGTAACAGGGAGACAGGGACCAAAGGGAGAGGGAGACAGCCAGGCCTCCTGGCTCTTTGCCCCAGAACTTTAAGCCAGCTTTATCTCCCAGGCCCTCCTCTTTCCAGACCTGAGGGCTGGTGGTCTGCCCCTGCCATCTCTGGGGTCCTTCAGGCAGGTCCTGGTTCAGTCTCTTCTCTGCCCTGTTGCATCAGTAGGGCGGGCCTTGTGGTCCCCATCCTGGGGGACCTCAGGGCCACTGGGGGTGCATGTGCAGGGGAGCCCCTGGGGGTCAGTGGGGCTGGCACAGCCCCCTGCCCAGCCTGGCCCTCTCTGCAGTGGATGCGTGCCCGCTGGACCTCTGACCCCTGCTACGCCTTCTTCGGGGTGGACGGCACCGAGTGTTCCTTTCTCATCTACCTCAGTGAGGTCGAGTGGTTCTGCCCCCCACTGCCCTGGAGGAACCAGACGGCTGCCCAGAGGGCATCCAAGCCCCTTCCCAAAGTCCAGGTGGGCCTGGGAGGTGGGTGGGCCAGTGAGGGGCTGGCGTGACTGGACATCCTCAGGGACAGCAGGCAGAAACCGTTGCCCTGGGGTAACGAGACTGAGCAGCTGTGCCAGGTGTGTGGGCAGGTCCCAGCCCACTCTGCTAGGCAGACGGGAGGACAGCCTGCTGGGGCTTGTCTGCTTCCTTTGAGATGCCAGCAAGCTGGGCCTCTTTGTGGGGCAGGTGGGGGCCTGGAGGTTCCCCCTTAATGGACTAGAATAGTAGTAATAGCAGCTGCCACTTATTGAGGGCTTTCTGTGTCTAGACGCTTTATTTGCACTTAAAGCTCTGGCCATTCTTATGTGATCTTATTTGACAGACAATGCATCTAGGGTTTAGAGTTGAATTAATGGGTTCAAGGTGCACGGTTGCTGTGGTGGCCATATCTGTCCCCTGCCATCAGAGTCCTGGCTGTGACCACTACCCTCACTGCCTCCTTGTCGTGGCCGGGATCCTGGGAACTGCTGTGATCAGCTACCTCCCTGGAAGGGCTGGGGTTTGTGGTCAGAGCTGGGCTGGGGAGGGTGTATTGAGAGGGAGGGCAGGAATCCCTGGTTTCAGGGGCCGACGAGCCCCTTAGAAACTGCAGAAGAAGCTGGAGCAGGCCCCAGGCTCATGGGAGGGTTCCAGGCCCTGTCCCCTGGCCGGTCGGAATGATGGTGGCTGCCGGTCGAGAGACAGAGAGAGCTGAGGTCTGGACCCCTCCAGGCAGTTTTCCGAAGCAACCTGTCTCACCTCCTGGACCTGATGGGCAGCGGGAAGGAGTCCCTGATCTTCATGAAGAAGCGGACCAAGAGGCTCACAGCCCAGTGGGTGCTGGCTGCCCAGCGGCTGGCACAGAAGCTGGGAGCTACCTGGAGGGACCAGAAGCAGGTGTGTGGCTCCTGACCCCTCACTTGCAGGAGCTGAGAAACTCAGGGTGCCCGCTTCTTGGGGGGCACAGAATAGGTCTTCAAACAAGCTGCAGTGGGCCTCTGAATTTGATCAGAGGGAGAGAGGGGTGGGGATGGCAGAGTCGGGATAGATGTCTGTGGTGGCGGCCCCTGGCCCTTTTCAAAGTTGGGACAGAATGGCAAGCTCCCAAGGGGTCCTGCATTCTGTGTACATCTGGTTCATGTCAGGCAGAAAAGTCATGGGATTGGCCTGGAAAGTTGGGAATGTTCTGGGGAGCTTTGTTAGCTCATCCTTCCATTGTTCCTTCCCTCTGCCACCTCCTTTCCTCCCTCCCTCCCTCCTTCCCTGCCTCTCTTCCTTCATCCACCCAGTAGATATTTACATGACTCTCACATTCCCCTTTTATTTCTTTCAGAGTCCTTGTCATTTCATGAAATTATCTCTTGTCTGTGTTCACTGTTTTCTACCTCTTCCATCTGGAACATAAGCTCCGTGAGGGCAAGCACGTGACTATCTTGCTTGCCCGTGTCCCCAGTGCCTGGTCTGGTCACTCTGGTGCCAGAAAGCACCTGCTGGGGCCCAGCCTGGAGACCGGGTCTGCTGCCGGCTGGTATCCTGGCTGGTTCCCTGGGGGGCAGGGCTGAGAGCTGCCGATCCTCCCTGCTGACCCTCTGTGTTCCACCAACCCAGATCCTGGTCCACATCGGCTTCCTGACAGAGGAGTCTGGGGATGTGTTCAGCCCTCGGGTCCTGAAGGGCGGGCCGTTGGGGGAGATGGTGCAGTGGGCAGACATTCTGGCTGCGCTCTATGTCCTGGGCCATGGCCTGCGGGTCACAGTCTCCCTGAAGGAGCTGCAGAGGTGAGTGCTGGGGAAAGCCACTGGCATGGAGCGGGCAGGAGGGGATGAAGGGGAACCCTTCCCTGGAAGCTCCTGCTCTGCCTGCACGTCCCACGGTCCTGAGACCCTAGGAGGCCTCCTGGTGTTCTGTGGGACATCACCACTCCTGATCCCCTCCTCCTGCCTGGTCTTGGGGGAGGTAGCAGGGAAGTGTGTTTGCAGAGTACTATCTGGCCAGGGCATGGCTCCTTCTCTGGTGTTTCTGCTCAGGGGCTGGCACATATTAGCTTGTGGAATTGAGCCATGTCTGCACATGGGGTCCCCTCTGTCTGCCATCCTGGGAGATTTGGTTTCTTTTCTGGAACTGGGCTTCCTCTTGGGTCTATTTTAGGATCTGGAGACCAGCAAGATGTGGCAGGTGAGGGGGGTGGTGGGTAGGTGCTACGTGTCCCTTACCCAGTGCTGGACTTTCTGGGTCCCTCGGATGCTGTGGGAGGTGGAAGGACAGTGATTAGAGGCTCCCCTGGGTGCTTGAGAGCAGGAAGGGGTGAGGTGGAGAATGTGGGATGTCAAGGAGGTGAGTGCATGTGTGTGACTGAGTTTATTTTGAACCACTGTTTCTGTGGAATGTAGGAATACAGGAGATTCTTCTCTCTTTATTAATAGTTGTTATATGATACTCGATGCATGCAAAAGTCTATGCAACATATGCTGTGAAACACAAGAGTCAAATCAGCTCCCACGTGTGGCCATCCACTTAGTGTCACCAAGGACTCTGCATCTGCCTGAGAGTGTCCCCCGATCTCTCTGCCTCCTCCCCAGATGAAGCATTAAATTGAACTTTGTGTATATTATTGCTTCTTTTTTTTTTTTGAGATGGAGTTTCGCTGTTGTTACCCAGACTGGAGTGCAATGGCGTGATCTCGGCTCACCGCAACCTCCGCCTTCTGGGTTCAAGCAATTCTCCTGTCTCAGTCTCCCGAGTGGCTGGGACTACAGGCAAACACCACCATGCCCAGCTAATTTTTGTATTTTCCTTAGAGATGGGGTTTCACCTTGTTGACCAGGATGGTCTCGATCTCTTGACCTCGTGATCCACCCGCCTCGGCCTCCCAAAGTGCTGCGATTATAGGTGTGAGCCGCCGCACCCGGCTGCTTTTTTTTTTTTTTTTTTTTAATGGAATTTCTCTCCATTTCAGGCTGGAGTGCAGTGGTATGATCTCGGCTCACTGCAACTTCCACCTCCCGGGTTCAAGTGATTCTCCTGCCTCAGCCTCCTGAGTAGCTGGGATTACAGGTGTGCGCCACCATGCCCAGCTCATTTTTGTATTTTTACTAGAGACAGGGTTTCACCATGTTGGCCAGGCTGGTCTTCAACTCCTAGCCTTAGGTGATCCACCCACCTCGGCCTCCCAAAGTGCTAGAATCACAGGCGTGAGCCACTGCACCTAGCCTGCTTTTTTTCATAAAAAGTGTTTGGTTGTTTTTTTTCTGTGTGTGTTAGTGTATCCATAAACAATTTATGGTTTGCTTTTGTTTTGTTCTGGTTTCAAGCTTTGGGAAAATGGCATCTGCTACACACGGTCTCCAAACTTGCTTCCTTCAAACTCCGTTTCAAAGACTCATCCATGTCCTTGCATGCAGCTTGATTTCATCCATTTTCACTTCTATCTAATATTCCATTGTGTGAATGTGCCATAATTACGTATCAGTTTTTCCTGACTGTGGATATCATTTCCTGTTTCTAAAATGGTTTTGAACGTTGCCCTGGTGGACACTCTTGGACATGTCACGTTGGGTACAGACTTAGAGGCACATAATGATGGGCGCACTCACAAGATGGGTCTTGGCATAGTGAAAATTCAGCTTTATGAGATAATGCTGAATTATCTTCCAAGGTGATTGGTACAGTTCAGAGGCTCACCAGTGCCTGAGTTTCCATGAGGTCATATTCTCACCTATACTTAGGGCCGTTAGACGTTCTGATTGAGGGTGAACGTCAAGCATGGCATGATGATGTCTTGTTACAGTTGCAACTTGCATTTCCTGAAATGTAATGGGCTGAGCATCCTGTCCTGTTTATTTGTGGTTCTTTCATCTTGATGAGATGCTCATTGATATGGGCATCGTATGATATGGGTTATCATTTCCATATTGAGTTGTAAGAGCTCTTTATATATTATGGATGTAAATTCTGTGTGAGTCACATGTGCTAAAAATCTCCTAATTTGTGGCTTGCCTTTTAAATTTCTTTATGGTGTTTTGGCGGGTAAAAGAAGTTGTTAATTTTAATGTAATCAAAGTTATTCATCTTTTTTTTATAGTGATTTTGTGTTTGATAGAATTCTCCCTCCTTCCTTCCTTCCTTCCTTCCTTCCTTCCTTCCTTCCTTCCTTCCTTCCTTCCTTCCCTCCTTCCCTCCCTCCCTCCCTCCCTCCCTCCCTCCCTCAGGGCCTTGCTCTGTTGTCGAGGCTGGAGTGCAGGGGAACAATCATGGCTCACTGCAGCCTCCACCTCAAGCAACCCTCCCACCTCAGCCTCCTGAGTAGCTGGGATTACAGGTGTGCGCCACCACGCCTGGCTAATTTCTGTATTTTTAGTGGAGACAGAGTTTGACTATGTTGCCTAGGCTGGTCTCCAACTCCTAGGCTCAAGAGATTCACCTGCCTCAGCCTCCCAAAGTGCTAGGATTACAGGCATGAGCCACCATGCTTGGCTTTATTCCTCCCTTTCATTGACTTAAACATTTTTCTATCTGTACGTAACATGTGTACATATTTATGGGGTATGTGTGATATTTTGTTACATGCGTCGAATGTGTAATGATCAAGTCAGGGTACTGGGGTGTCTATCACCTTTAATATTTATTATTTTTATATGTTGGGAACATTTCAAGTCCTTTGAAATCTACAATAATTGTTGTTAACTACAGTCACCCTACTCTGCTATTTTTTCTTTTTTTGGGGGACAGAGTCTTACTCTGTTGCCCAGGCTGGAGTGTAGTGGCACGATCTCGGCTCACTGCAACATCCGCCTCCCAGGTTCAAGCAATTCTCCTGCCTCAGCCTCCTGAGTAGCTGGGACTACAGTCGCATGCCACCATGCCTGGCTAATTTTTGTATTTTTAGTAGAAATGGGGTTTCACTGTATTAGTCAGTCTGGTCTTGAACTCCTGACCTCTGGTGATCCACCTGCCTCGGCCCCCCAAAATGCTGGGATTATAGGCATAAGCCACCACACCTAGCCTCTGCTATCTTTTTCAAAAAATTTTATTTATTTTAAAATAGAGATGGGTTTTCACCATGTTGCCTAGGCTGGTCTCAAACTCCTGGGCTCGAGTAATCTGCCTGCCTCAGCCTCCCAAAGTGCTGAGATTACAGGCATAAGCCACATGTCCAGCCTACTCTGCCATCATAACATAAAACCTATTCCTTCTGTCTAATTATATGTTTGTACTCATTAACCAAACCAACCTCTCTTCATCCCCCCTCCCAACCACATTTGATGAGATTACTCCTCAGGGCCTTCCTTAAAGGCCCCAGAATTGTTTGCATGTGAATCAACTTTTCTTCATTAGCCCATTAACTTATACTCAGGTGGTTTTTCAAGTGGTTTCCTTGTGAGTTCCCGCCAGAGCCTGCCTACTCTCTTGCTGGTCTAATTGGCCTTCTCTCTGCTAATGCTGATGCTCTGTAGCCCAGGAGTGTTGGCGAGCAGAGCATGCTGATGAGAACGGAGCCATGACAATCTCAGGTCACTAGGACCCAGCAAGTGCCAGTCTTGGGCAGCTACTCAGTTTCTGCACTACTTCCCTGAAACTCAGAGTCTGCCAGTAACTCAGGTAGGATGTCCGTGGCTCCTATCAGAGGGAGGATTCTGGACCAGTTATATTGAGTAGTGGAAGAAGGAAGCTGGGTCTGGGTTGTGTTGTGTAGGAGGCCGCTAAATGACCCAGGGCTTGGAAGGTTTTCATTCCCATGGCCTGAAATTCACAGCACTGGAATCATCCTCTTAGGTGAATGCATGTATTTCCAACAGGCTCAGTAAAGATGAGCCTTCCCTTTCTGCTCCCTCAAGGAATGGGAAGGCGTCTCCTGTGCATTCATGACAGCCCAACACCACGTGCATAAAATCATCTTTCCATAAGAAAGTCAGATATCTGATAAGTCCCCTTGAGAGGTGCAAATTGAACTCCATTGCATCTCAGCCCATGCTGGGTTTCTGGTGTCTGAAACCTGAGCTCTTACCTGCCCAGAGCTCTGCTTACCCTGAGCTCTTACCTGCCCAGAGCTCTGCTTACCCTGAGCTCTTACCTGCCCAGAACTCTGCTTACCCTGAGCTCTTACTTGCCCAGAGCTCTGCTTCCTCCTCTGATCTCTCCCCTGGGACCAGCACTGAGCCTTGAAGTCGGCCCAGCTGCCAACACCCATCTCAAGGCCAGGGCAGGGGCAATAGGGTGGCTGCATTTGGGAGGTGCAGAGTGTCTCCAGAAAGGAACAGCACATGTAAGTGAGGATATGGGGCAGAGGCAGGTTGGTGCTAGGGACTGAAGAGGCAGCTGCACAGTCCAGGTTGGGGGCGGGCTCTGGAGCAGGAAGTACCCATCTTGAAATAGCAGGACCTGGAGCTGCAAGGAACCCGGCTGGGAGCTGTCCCTGAGTGTTAGTGCTGAACCCACATAGAGACTCCCAGTGCTGCGAGAGGGAAACAGCATGTCCCTCACGCTGGCTCTCACCCCGGTGACATCTTGTTGTCAGATCTAGCTGTTTGCACTGTGCAGGCCACTTCAGAGCCAAGGTGTGGAGCCCACTTGCCCTCTCACACCCACTGCTGCACATGAAACTGTCCACCCCCGGCTCCCTCTGAACAGAGAGCCTGAAGATGCATCGATGGCTGTCTGTGGAGCAGAAGGCTGCAGAGGCAGCTCACATTTGCAAATTATGAAGAAAGGTGATCTTTCCCTGGCTTGGAAGCTTCCCACAGGGAAGTTAGAAGGGGCAGGGCTGAGGAGGAGGGAGAAT